AGGGGCAAGGAATCTTCTCATCCATCAAGGGTCATGGGTGAAAAAGAGAGTCATCGGCAAAACACATAAACCAAACAACAGGCTTGTATTGAGAAGAATTCAAGTCCTAGTTCATACACCCTCAAAACTGCAAAATTCATATATAAAAACAGGTCTGTAACTACTGAAACTGATAAGAGTACATTGCAGATGCTCTGGCCTCAGGGTTCTGAAGGCGAGCTCCCACAACCCAGGGGTACAGGACACCATGCAAAACACCTACTGAGGGCAGCAAGGTGAAGATACAAATAGCAAACTACACAAGGAAACGAGCCAACGTGCCTTAGCTCCAAAGTGGGTATATGATATTAGAATTGTGTAGAGGATATGTCTCAAACTATATCAATGCGTATACATGTACAGAGAAAAAAATATCAAAATGTGAACAGTAGTTGGCTTGAAGTGTGGCTGAATCTTTAAAAATTCCAGTAAAATTAATGTACAGTGTTAAGTTAGTTTCAGGTACAATACAGTGATTCAACAATTCTATACATTACTCAGTGCTCATCAGTACAGGCATATTCTTAATCCCCCATCACCTAGTTAAGTACGGCTGAATTTTTAAACCTCTGGTTTTTTTTATGTCTATTTATTTGAGAGAGAGAGAGACAGAGACAGAGACAGAGCATGAGCGGGTCTGAGTCTCGAATACCTCAGCTGAGGCTCAAAACAAAAAGCTCCATCTGGAGGGGGGAGAGAGATGATCTAGGGGTGGCTTGTTATCTCAAAAAGTCACAGTATTAAGTAATGGAAATTCCTAGCTCTCTTTCCACATACAAGCATCCAATGTTTTAAAGCAGTTGGAAGCCAGAAGCAGCAGCAAGTTGGCAACACTCTTGAATAGAAGAAGAAGAAGCTGCAGCTCAAGGCAAGTGGACATTTTCTTCCTTGTTCTGGTTGAGATGTTCACACTTCCCCTGGTACCTGAGCTCTCCTCAATGGAGCCAAGGAAGATCAAAACCTGCCTCAAGGGAGCAGGTTTGATGGGGCTTGGGACTTCTATAATGTAGGGGACTCTTTTGGGAAAATGGCCCTGAGAGCATACAGATGGCTCAGTCAGTTAGGCATCCGACTCTGGTTTCAGCTCAGGTCATGATATCAGGTGCGGTTTTTACTGCGTGGGTTCAAGCCCCCGTTGAGCTCTGCCACTGATATTTGAGGGCCTGCTTGGGATGCTCTGTCTCCCCTCTTTGCCCTCCCACTCACACCCTGCCTCTGTCTCTCTCAAAAATAAATAAACTTAAAAAAAAAAAGAAAAATGACACAAATCAGGTACAAGGAATACATGAACCCCTGGCTAATGAGGAACCTTAAGCTTCTGTTGTGTTAGCTTTATGTGAATCCACTTCTGCCCAGCACCTTAGCCTTGCCCCGTGGCAGCTCACAAAATGGAGGAACAGCCTTTCCTTCTGGCAGCTTCTGCAGACCATTCACCTCTTAGAGGACCAGTCAATATCCCTGCACCCCAAATCACGCAACAAAAGCAAATGCAGCATAAGGAGCATGCAAACAGCTCTTTGGGTTTTACTGCTTTGTTGAAAGAAAGAAAATAGGGTATCAATGTATTCAATAAATAAATACTTTCTTCAATCTTCTCCTTTTTTTTTTTTTTTTTCGTTTTTTATTTATTTTTGGGACAGAGAATAGAGCATGAGCGGGGGAGGGAGCAGAGGAGACACAGAATAAAGAAACAGGCTCAGGCTCCGAGGCCATCAGCATAGAGCCTGGCCATGAGCCTGGAACTCCACAGGACCCATGGTCGTGACCTAGCTGA